TTATTTAGTTGCTAACTATCTCAAAGTAAATAGTAGTAAATAGTTGGGGAAAAAGTTGCAAAAAAAATCCTCTGGCAGATTAACTTATCAAGACAGACTAAGAAAGTCGCGTGAAAAAATACTAAGTGTAGAAAAGTAAAAATTAAATTTTAGATCGAAATAAATTTAAAATCATTCACTTACGCTGAAAAAAATTAAAATAATATGCAAAATAAAAAAAAATACTTTAATCAGATGATTGTAAAAAGGCGATGAACTGCTGTTACATTTTGTTCCTTGAAAAGAGTTAAAAAAACCCATTCCGTCGAATTTTTAATTTCAATAATAATTAAGTCAGTGTCATATTTAACAATTTAAAGTTTTGACGTATTTCTGTACTTTGACAATGAGAGTGTCCTTGAAGCTCATTAAAGAAACAGGATCGGAAGTAGAACCATGCAAAGGTGAACTGGTCTTGGAAATAGGCAAAAGCCTTTCTTCTTTGTGATCAGCATCCGCAACAGTGCCGTCAATAATTTCCTATGCATAATAAAAATTTGTACAAGTTTTTATGAAACTTCAAATTTTCTTTAAATGTTACTGAAAAAAAAGTTTGAATAATGATAGAAATAAACTATAACACAAATAATAATTTGACCTTTGACAATACTGTAGTTTTAAAAACTATAAATTTATCTAATATTGTGAATGAGTAAATTTTTATTTAGTGAAATATCGTGAAACTACTTAACGGTATTATCTAATATAATAACTTAGATTATAAAGTTTTTAACTTTCTCAAAGTGAATTGTTGGGGAAACAGTTGCAAAAAATAAGTTCTCTGGCATCAAATTAAATTATCAAGACAGACTAAGGTGGTTGCTTGAAAAATTATAAAAATTACAAAAATAAAAAATACATTTAAGGAATATTTAAACAAAGATTACATGCATCGAATAGCTCTAGAGAGGCGACGACTACTATTAAATTAAATTTTTACTTTGAAAAGAGTTACTTTGTCAATTAGAGTTTCCTTGGAGCTCAATAACAGAATTGGATTGGAAGTGGGACCAGGGAAAAAAAGGTAGTCATTCTGATACAACGGCAAAAGATCTCGCTCTCCTCCAAGATCAGCATTAATCAAGACATCTATATCGGCATGATCTTCGTTATAGCCTTCGATTAGACGCTAAACGTACAAGATTTTTCGAATGTTCAACAGAAAAATGCATTTGTATGTTTTACTTTAATGTGAATCAAAATATTGAATTGTTTGTTTTAAGTTATGATTGATTGCGACAGTATTTTGTTAAAGAAATTTCCTATAACTAACGTAGTCATCGTAGTTTATGTGATCCTCATTAAAGTCAAATGAAAATTTGTCATTTTCGTCATCAGTATCATCATCACTATTATCATAATTAGTTTCAAAATCATCATTCTCATTTATTCCTTCAAGTTCACTGTCAGAATCGTTATTTTCTTCTTCTGTATCTTCATCTGAATCTTCCTTTCTTTTGCCGTTGTATCTGATATCTGTTTATTAATACGATTCGATAACAATTTTTATAGAATATTTGAAAACGATAATTAAGCATTCACACATCTTTTTTAATTATACGAAAAAAAAAGGAGAATGATCTTAACAAGCATTCGAACTGCATCATTTTAATATTTACTTAGCTACTAAAGCAGCTAAATAAATTTCAACAATTTTAGTTAAATGATGCACAAAAAACTCACACTTGCGCTATTATAAATCATAAAAGATTATTTTAATAAAATTGCTGGTGAAGATACGCTGGTGAAATGCTTGGAATTCACTAGATAAACTTATAAGTTACGTAATAAATAATCTTAAATAATGATATATTTTTAGTTAAGTTATAATTAAGAGATTTGTCTGTTTCAATTTGCCAGTCAATGTTAGCTTATCCGCTAGATTTTCTGAGAAGACAAAAAGAAGAGTTATTATAAGCTTTTTTGTATTCTTAATAATAATAAAGCAATTAAAAAAAAATAAAGTACAGAAGATATAATTATGATCTCTAATTTGAAGCATTTAAAAATTTGAAAGCTGTGCTGCATTCACGAACATGTTGTATTGACGATGAAAATAATAATTTTAATAGTCCCCTACTTTGCCTTTAATTGTTATTTTGTACATAAAAAAAATTTAAAAATTCTTTATTTTTGAAACATCAATAAAACAGGTAAAATATCTTATAGAAACGATCGGCAAAAGTATACATACTCATTTTAATTGCCTCAATCATACTTTCGTCATTGTGATCTGTTACTTCATTTCGAAATTTTTCAGTAGACCATGGTGGAGGAGATTCTAGTTCTTTCCAGGCTGCCTCTATATTTTGTGTTCGTACTTTTTAAACCATTGAATGACTTGCAGTTAGTCGAATCAAGTTTTTAGCACACTCTAAATCCTTGATCGATCTTTCTTTTACGTTTATAATTTCACCTATATATAATATTGTAGTATCAGTTATTAACATTAGTTGCTTATGGATTCATTAAGCCTTGGAACCTATATACTGCTTACTAATTAAATTGTATCAAAAAAAAAAAAGTATTTGGTAATTAAAAAACTACAAGGTATATATTAAATGTTTCAAGTTTTGTTTTCAAAAATCAAACAAAATAAGAAAATTACTTACTAGAATGAATATACAACTTTTAATAATGTTAGAAATATTTACCAATAGTAATATAACCTTACGTATACATGTAAAAACACTTGAGTTTGTCCTCAAAATTGCATGCAATATATGGTGGTAGGATTCAAGGAAATTATTAGTTCTATCAATCATTCTATAACAGCTAAACGCATTTGGGCTCACAATTTTTATCCATTGCCTTTGGTAATATAAATTAATAAACTTTTTCCACAAAAATAAATTTTTATGATCATCAGCAAACAAATTGTCAATTTGCTTCATGATGAGATCAACAGCTTCCTGTGCTTTTTCAGGAGGAAGTAATGCGACACTTATCAGTTTTTTGACTATTAAATGACCCTTGGGATTTTTCTTCATGTTGTTTCGACCAAATAGACAATATGCCTTATATTTTTTCCTTTTTTATTAATGCCTAAAAATTATGAAACTAATGACTACTAATTTTACTTTGAATATTAGTACTGTTACAACTACTACTACTACTACTACTACTACTACTACTACTACTACTACTACTACTACTACTACTACTACTACTACTACTACTACTACTACTACTACTACTCCCCCTTCACGGTATGCGTTACCTTGTCGAAGACCGTACTGCTTGCAGCCTTGGTCGGGTGAGGGGGCTTTAAACTAACGGCATACCTCCTTTCTTACACGCATCTAAACTCCTCCATCCTTTTACATAATCCTTTAAACACTAACATACATCGACACTGACATACTCTTGCAGCATGGACGCTTTGGTTCGCGTGCGGAGGCTTGCTGCTGCCCGTAGAACTGTGTCAGGCTGGAGTGGGTGGTGAGACTCGATGCGGTGACTGGGGAGGCCCGGGTATCTCTACCGCTGATAAAGTCGGATGTCCGAAAAAAAAAAAGATGTGGCGATCCTTTTAACTAAGGAATCTGGCCATTGACGGACTATATGGAGGGCACTATTAGTGCATACCAGCTTGTACTCTTTCGCTCGGCCGGTGTTAACGATGTGGTGGTTGTATTCGCCTCGGATCGTGGGCTGGAGCTGGCATGAAGCAGGAGAACCACACCCTACACTTTTACAATACCTTATCACCTAGTTTGCTATTTCTAGGAACTCCTAAAAAATAGTCCCTAGCCGAGGGTAGAAGGCTCGCCGTGTTTGCCGTGCGGTGCGACCCGTGAGCGGCCAAAGGGAGATCCTGGGCAGTAAGGCGATACCTAGGCTGCGTGCCGAAGTGACCCGAGCTGTCTTTGGCTCCTGCTGACTGCAAGACGGGAGGCCGGATTCTTAACCAGGTCCGGTCAATCGGCTAACACTGTGGAGGTCGCGGCCCGGGGCGGGCTGGTCGCGCTGCTGCTGCGGCCTTGCGGGTTTGGCGGGGGGCCTGTTGGGCTGGGTGGGTGTGGGGGCGTGGCAGTTTTCTGCTTAGCTCCTGCTCCTTTTCGGCTTCGCGATTCCTCGCTGGGCTCGGGGGATTGCTGTCGTGGCGTTTCTGGCTTGCTCCTCTTCGTGGCTCCCTCAGTGTGGTGAGTGCGTTCTGCCGCGTGATGTCTGCCGGAAACTCTCCAGAGAGTGGATCGCTTCTGGTTGGGGCGTGATGCTCGAGGGAGTGGAGGTGGGCTAGGGCGGCAGGGCGTGCTATATCTCGGGGTTACCCACCCGGACCGAAACCGCCCTTCAGACATGTGTTGGGGGCGGCCGGCGGCCTCCACCAGTGAGGGATCCAGATGGGTTGGTGGGGACCTTGGGATGAATTTTGTGTGTTTTAGATATGGCGCAAATTTTAACAACCAAAGGAGGATGGGAAGAAGAAATGGATAAGAGGGTATACCCTTTTAACAAGGATCCCGTGGAGAAGCCCGACCAGGGAGGAGAGTTGGACGTTGCTGCTGATGCGGCGTTCGACAACCTAGCCAGGGCCTCGGACGAGCTTAGGGCACTCATGGTGAGGCATCCCAACACGGCATACACCATAAAGACCAACGTCGTTGCGGCGGTGACTGCCATGGGTGTCCTGAGGCGCCTCCAGGAGCGGGTAAGAGAAAAAGAAGAACTGCCTCTAAGTAACAACCAGGCAAAGGCTAAAAATGCAGGAAAAAGGAAGCGAGGGCGAGAGGGGAAAAACCCCGAGCCCTCAGCTTACGCCAAGTAAGGCCATTAAAAAAGCAAAAGGGGCTGGACCTCGGCTGAAACCAGAGAGTGTTCCAGCAGAGGTTTCAGCCGAGAAAACTAAAAGGACGAAGGCCCAAAGAAAGGGAAAAAAGGAAAAAAAAGAGGGTAAGGGGAACAAGCCCCAATAAGATACGGAGAAAACCCCCAAGGTCGCGAAGGAGAGACGTCCCATGGTCAGGCCTGAGGCAATATTGGTTGTGCCAGCCCAAGGCAAGAAGTATGCCGAGGTCCTGGCTCTAATGAAGAAGGTTAACGTTACCGGGCTTGGGGCAAGCGTGGGATCTATCAGGGAGACGAGGACGGGAGGTGTCCTCATCGAACTGAAAAATACTGAGTCTAAGCACCGTGATGCGTTCGCCGAGGCAATTAAAAGTGCCGTGGCGGACGCGGGTAGTGTGAGGACACTGTCCCCGCGCTCGGCCTCGAAGATAAGGAACGTTGACCCAACGGTGACAGAGGAGGAAGTCGAAGCAGCAGTTAAAGGCTGCTTTGACGAAGGGGCGTCCCCCCGCATGGTTGTGCGGTTGTCTTCTGGAACAAACAGAGGAAACCGCATAGCCTACGTCGAGGTACCTGCGACGGCGGCTCCGATTCTCGAAAAGAGGGACCACATTAGGCTGGGCTGGGTTAACTGCAGGATGCGACAAAAGATCACAGTTGAGCGTTGCTTCAGGTGCCTGGGCTTCGGGCACATTGCGAGGCAGTGTGGCGGGCCCGACAGGACCGGGGCGGGCTGGAGGTGCGGTAAAAAGGGTCACATGGCACGAAACTGCTCGGTAAAAGAAGTGAGCTGTTTCCTGTGCGAAAACGTGGTCCCGAAACCGGACACCAGACATGTCGCTGGGACTGCCGGGTGTGGGGCCCCTCAGGCGATTGCAGTGACGACACGGCGGAAATGGCGCTGATCCTGCAAGTAAACGTAGATAAAACCGTGTTCGCGCACGATCTGCTAATCCAGTTTTCCCCTGCCCAGGGTATGGATATGCTCTTTATAAGTGAGCCAACCCGCACGTTACCGGGTCGAGGCTGGTTCTGCGACAGGACAAGAGGCGCTGCCATCCTGATTCACAGCGACAAGTTCTCCGTATCCAATACCAGAGGTGAAGACGGGTTCGTGTGGATCAGGTGTGGTAGCGTTTTTTATGTGAGTTGCTACATATCCCCCAACATTTCGCTTGGTGTCTTCAGAGAACGGCTTGCCGAACTCGAGGATACCGTCCGAGTGTGCAAGGAAAGTGGTGATGTAGTCCTGGCCGGCGACTTTAACTCCAAGGCCATCGCTTGGGGAGAGCCGAGAACCGACCCCAGAGGACGGGCGGTGTTAGAGATGGCTGCAAGGCTGGATCTCATCGTCATGAACTCTGGTGGTTCAGCAACGTTCAGGCGACCTGGTAACCGGGAAACGATCATCGATCTCACGCTGGTGTCGTCAGTAATGGCGGCACGGGTCTCCGACTGGCAAGTCCTGGAGGACTACACGGCCAGTTATCACCAGTACGTCAGCTTCGTAATACACGAAGATCGTGGTGTAGCTTCGCAAGATGTAAGCCGAAGGCGCGTTAACGGGTGGAACGTTGCAAAACTCAACCGAGTTCTGATACTGGAAGCCATGGTTGGCGCGCCGCCTCCAGCCGATTTAAACAAGATCAATAATCAAGCGGAGGCTGAGGCACTCGTAAGTGGCACTACGAGACGGGTCAAGGAATGTTGCGACGTGTGTATGCCCAAAAGGTCTACCGGGGGGGGGGGTCGACGTTCGTGCTACTGGTGGACCGAGGAAATTGCTGACTTGCGTAGAGAAGCGCAGCATCTACGGCGTCTTGCACAGCGACACAGAACTCACGAAGGCGCCGGGGCAGCTGCTGCCGCGTACAAGGAAGCAAAAAGAGCGCTAATGAGGGCGATCAAGGTGAGCAAGAACCGATGCTGGCGCAAGCTCATCGCCGAGGTGGATAAGGACACGTGGGGCCTGGGCTACCGAATCGTGTTAAAAAGACTTCGCGGTTCGGACCCGGCGCCGCCGATGGAACCTTCCTTCTTGGAGAGAGTGGTCTCTTGCCTCTTTCCGGAGCATCCCGCTAGGAGGGGGGAGGACATAAGTGTAGGACAGGTACCTCTCTTCACTCTCGAGGAATTCAGGTCGGTGGCATCGGAGACGCCTGGGCGAAAGGCCCCTGGTCCGGACGGGGTGCCGTCCGAAGTCCTCAAGATAATAGCTGCAGAAAACTGTGAGATACGATGTTCTCCCTGGTGGCTCCACCCTGAAGTAATGCTAACGCGGTTCCAGGGTGGATCAAAAGCCACGCGGCAAAGGGGGGGGTTTTAGTGGGTATGGGTGGTCTTATAAAAAAAATCCACCNCTACTACTACTACTACTACTACTACTACTACTACTACTACTACTACTACTACTACTACTACTACTACTACTACTACTACTACTACTACTACTACTACTACTACTACTACTACTACTACTACTACTACTACTACTACTACTACTACTACTACTACTACTACTACTACTACTACTACTACTACTACTACTACTACTACTACTACTACTACTACTACTACTACTACTACTACTACTACTACTACTACTACTACTACTACTACTACTACTACTACTACTACTACTACTACTACTACTACTACTACTACTACTACTACAACTACTACTACTACTACTACTACTACTACGACTACTACTACTTCTACTACTACTACTACTACTACTACTACTACTACTACTGCTACTACTACTACTACCCCGGGTGGGGTTTTCGCTAGTTTCTCCATACCGGGCGCTTCCCCGGGTGGCGGATAGGGGCATCCTCTTAAAATGTGAGGTGACGATGGGCAGCTGGGGTGGCTCTCTGTGATGGTGGTCGGGGGCTGAAATCGGGGGGCGTGTGTGACGTTGGCGTGTGTATCTGCGGTGATGTGGACGGGGTACTAGTGCCCCATGCCTCCATCGGTGTAGATGCATGGGCCAGCTCTGCTTGTGCTCCTTGTTCTTCGCTTTTTGCTGCTTTCGTGGGTGGCACTCCATTGCTTAATGCGGGCCAACAAAAACTAGCACCCGTCGTGTATAGAAGTAAGCAGCGGTTAAAACATTCTTCTCAGATACATGCATCACACACTCTTCCTAAACTAACACAGGGACACTTACGGATTGTCCTGGTTTGCGTGTGGCGGGTCCTTTTCTGGGCTTGCGATGGAGGCCTGGCGACAGGTGAAGCCGGATGATGAGGCCCGGGTGAGTCTGGGTAACCATATCTGATATGACTGTACGCCTCATAAACAAAAAAGACGTGGTGGGCCGACTAATCTAGGCTTACTACCACTGAGGAGGCTATATGGCGGCACCTTAGTGCCTTACGCCAGCCCGTTTTGTTGGGTTGTCTGCGCGGTCTCGGGACTGTACGCCTGCC